GTCATTTCACTGGGAATGAACAGCATGGCCCAGTGAGGAGGAACATGCTGGCTGTTAATGAAGTGCATGGGAAGAGGCTACAGGTATCAGCTGGGCATTGAGTGAAGGACGAGTGAGAGAGGAGAGAGAAGGACAGAATGGTGAAGACCTGTGAGGGTAAACTCAATCAGTTTGAATACAAGAGGGTGGACAAGGCAGCACCTGAGGAGAAACCCAAGGAGATGCTGATATAGTCGGTGTGATGGAGGCTCAGGCCATGGGGTTAGGCAGGATGTTGGTGAGTAGGAGGGATAAGTGCAGTCTGCACTTGGACATATTACAGCTGTATAAGGATAGGGGGGAAAATAAAAGCCAGAGGTTTGAAAAATTGCAAGAGAAAAGAAAGGATTTGAGTCTATCCTGGATATGTGCAGCAGAAGGAAAGTCTAGGACAGGGAAGCCTCCCAATTTAAATTACTTTTTTGAGTGAGAAGTCAGGGTTGTTTCTCAGGCAGTCTTACACACTACAGCAAGCAGTCCTGCTATGGAAAACAATAGACATATTTTGAGCACTTTAACATTTTATACATGAGACTCGTGTTTGCCATACCATGCATTCCTTGCCGCTCCTTGTCAGCCAGAAGGCAGTGGCCTCTGAATTGGGAAAGTTGAAGGTTTCATGACCACGTGGTTTCTTCGGCACATGCAGGTGCTAAAGGTTCTCTGTAGGGTTGTGGACTCCAGAAACCAGGAGCAAGCTTGTGGCTCATCTTGCCTTCTTCCTAACACTCCCACGGCTGCCTCTACACTATCTTGCCAGTAGTGGCCAAAGGAGATAACTTTCTGCTGGAAGTGCAGGGGAGAATTTAGAGCCAAACAGACTAGAATGAAAGTCCTATTTTGAGATACTGCTCTACTGACTCATTGGCTTTGGGCCAGCTGCTTACCGGTAGTTCAACAGTGAGACAAGAGCAGTGTACGAAGTATTTTTTGTTCCTGTGAAAAAAAACTGTGGTGACATTTTCTCCATAGAATTTTTTAAGTTTGTCTAAAGCAGGACTTCTTGACAATTTCTTGACAACCTGGGGCTAGACTCTGTTACAGCAATTTACTTGGGATCTGCATAGCAGATACATTTTAAAAGGTCATATAATGGTGGAATATCTTTCTGGGGGACAGAATTGTCCCCCCAGGCTACCAGTTGGAGAGCTCTAGCTGGGTTAAAAAAAAGTGAAACAGAATGCAAATGCTATGCTATTACTTGTTGAGTTTTGGGAAATGTTTAAGCAGAAAAAGAAAGAGTTTTCTTACTTTCAAAATTAACAAAATCCTTTTTTTTCCTTTAGGAAAAAGTAATTTATTGTTTTTTTAAAACTGACTTTCTGAAGAAAAAGTGATAATCACCACCAGCTTCAGTGGACTTAGCAAAACGAAAGAAAGGCCTGATTTTCTGTAATACGCTCCACATTTTTACATTGCTCTAAAGTTGAAGGTCAGAAGGGTAGAAGGTTTTGAAGAGCAGTGTGGCATACTTGTGATAATTAGCTACCTGTACTTCTGCGATTTTTATCCTTCTGGAGGTGATGCCCGTGGCAGCATAGTCAACATGTTTGTCTGAGACCAACAGTCATAGCAGGCACTCAGCTCTATGGGAAAGTAAGTTAAAGCCAGAGAAATCTGGGGCTTGGCAGCTGGGACCCAAAACCAACTGGACTTGGATATTTGTGTCTCAGAAGTTAATATAAGGTGACTAAGATCCACTAGCAATCTCTAATTACTGCTTTTGCTTGCCTGTACGCTTGAGTCTACACATCCAAAGGGCACCATCCTGCTTTCAGGTTGGAATATCCCACCATTAGTTTTGGAGGTTACTTTGTCAAACAAGCTGATGTTTAGGTTCTCCCAGTAAGACTCAATGTTGAGAAAAATTTCTGCCTAGGTCCCTCAATTCCTGCTCCGCTCTCAGCCATGACCTTACAGTACCTTGGAAGCAGCAATAAAGCCAGCCCCACAACCCTGCCCCACAAGCTAGGTACGTGTTGCTGTCCTGCTTAAGCCTTGTAGCCAGAGAGCCTTTGAGCTAACAGGAGATAAGGTGAATATCTGTCCAGAAGATACACTCCCTTACCGGACTTGGCTCACACCTCATTGCCCCATTTACCTTTGTTCTTCCCACTTGTCAGTATGTGGAGAACCAGGCCCAGTAGTCCCCTAAATATTTATGATAGGAATGGCAATTTCATTGCCAAAAGTCCATTTCTAACCTGTGGGTATCCTTGGAACATTAGTTTGCAATGTCACCTAGAGCTGTGCTGGTCTGCTCATCTTGTTATGAGCTTTTATATGGTTAAAGCTCTAAAAAGCAGGTGGGCTCTGGAGAGAATGGGGTTAATTCATAAATTCTCATTTGAATTTCCCAACTGCCTCTTCACACCAAACTCTTTGTCCTTTATTCCTCTAGAGCTTGAGAGTGCAGCAACCCAATGACTACTTATGAAGGGGAACGCTGTGTCCACTCACATCAGGGGCAGGGCTCCTTCAATCAAAGGGGAAAATAGCCTGTTCAGACCTTCTGTGAATGGGCAGGAGGAACTGTGCATAGAAAAGGGCCATGAAACTCTTGGAAGTACTGTCTGACATGCACCATAGCTAGCAAGGGATGAGATAAGAGTTTTGGGAAGTGGGCTGTCCAGGAGGGGAAAGGGGAAGGCAGCATGGAAGGGAGCATAGTGTGGAGACTGAGAGTGGCTATAAAATCAAAGGAAACTCCAATAAGTCTTAACTCTGGAAGTTTGCCTGAGAGACAGAGTCCAGATCAGCTGCAAGTAAGGGAAAAGAAAAGCAATAGTTTGTCCCATTGCACTTCTTGGGGAAGGTCTGCAAAGAGCACAGGATGGTGGACAACCAGAAATTGCACATCCCAGTGGTAGGCACATGGGTGGGGGAGATCCCCTGTCCACCAGATGGGATGGGATCAAATGCATCAGGGTCCCCATGCTGCCACACTGCCAGAAGGGACCCTTCACAGCAACACCTTTGCAAACAGCGGGATCCCACTGAGACACCCTGCACACATCACTGCATGTTGGCTGGCTGAGCCCTCCCATTGTGGGTGCAGTTCAGGGTGTCCCTAGCTGGTGGCTCACAGGCAGCTGAGGCTGTGCTCTTTCCATACTCCAACTGGTGGGGTGGAGCCAGCAGCGAGGCCAGAGCTGTGTGAGCATGGTGCAGCTTTCAAACCCAGCGTCTTAGCATGGCCTGTCAGCTGAGGCACAGGGTTAGCTCTCTCTGTCTGTATCTGCTGTGGTGCTGGCCTGGGTCCAGCAGGCTCAGAGCACAGTTGCCTGCGGTCCACCGAGCAGCCATCCCCCTGGAAGACCAGGCTTTCAGCTGATGTTCAGCCCTTGTCCCCTTGCAGTCTAATGCATCACAGCTGCTGGAGAGCTGCCCCCACAGCTGTGTCTTCCCTTCAACCCCATGACCTGTTTTTCCCTTTCCTTAGGTACAGAAATTCCCCTTCTGCCACGTTCTCCCGCTGCTGACCCTGTCAGCATTTCACCTACCCGCCCCAGCCACCTCCATTTTGGTCCAGGTGCTTTAGTCTTTTCTGTACCCTCACCACCTCCCCTTCCAAGGGGGGTATATTTTCCACCCCACCACCAGCAGCTGCAGCACCCTGCTGCTGGTGAGATGCCAAACCTTCACCTCTAAGCAGCGCACACAACTCTGAGCATGAGACAATTAGGAGAGAAAGAGGGAAGGGGGAAAGTATCGACAGGAGTAAATTGAGAGAAATCATAAAGCTTAAGCAGAAAGAAAGCAGTTTGAAAGGTAAAGTATTCAGAGAAAGCCCTTTCCTGGATGAATCTAATTGTTTTGTTATCTTTACCCACCAAAGCATTTACTTTGGTTTGTCGCCCGATCCACAAACACTTTCGAGGAGATGACATTACCGAAAGGCAGGAACATCTGCATCAGCTCAGCATCCCCAAACTCCTGGGGCAGATGGTAGATAAACAGGTTACAGCCCTCTGGTCCTATCAAGAGAAAAAGAAGACCCATGAATGGAGAGAAATAGGATATGAGAAAGCACATGGTGGAGATTTACTTTGACATCCCTTCTCTCTGACAGGTGAGCGGTCACCTCTAGGAAGCAGACTGTAGACTCTCAGAGGAATGGACAAAGCAGAAGACCAGGAACTCAGAAAGTCACCTAGAAGCTATGCTAACTTCATTAACGTTCCCAGGACAGACACCAGGATAAAATCTAGAGACAGAGGAATGCAGCAGCACATGTGGCCATGGAAAGACAGAATGGAGGAGTAAGAACAAAAAGAATGAAAGAATGTGGTTCATAGTTTTTCTTTGCTCCTCATAATCTCATTTAATCTGTAGAGTTTTGGGTGACCCACACTAACCCTTGCCTCTTCTCAGTGTCTGCATGCAGAAGTTTCATTATCCTTCTTGTGTCTGTGTGAAGACTGTGATAACAAGTAGAAAGATATGCGCAAACCCACAGGCTTATTTTGTTTTGTAGAATTTTACATTCAACCCCCCAGCTTGACTCAGCCTGAAGACTCCCTCAAATCTGGACAGTTTGGCCATGTCTCCCATTCTAGAGGGTTCTGCAAGAGAGATTACAGATGGATTTAAATCCAAATTACTGGACAAGAGGAATTGCCTTTTTTGCCTCAGTGCTGTAACATATAATCTTACAGACTTCAGAGGGTGCCTGGAAAAATATCCAGAGAGGAGTCTTTAGTTGGAATATGCAGTTTTGATAAAGTAGAGACCTTCAGAAAACGTTCTGTTGAAATTGTATTTTGGGACAGAAGAAGGAGAATCTGCCTCTGGTCAAATAGCCTAGAATGAAACTTTTCAATGTGACTTTTATTTTTAAGCATGCTGTACTTGAGCAAAAGTCAAAAGAGAACAGGTATGTCCAAGTGGTTTTGTTGAAAAAAATAAACATCTAAACCCCTGCCAGTGTTCACTAGCAGACAACTGTATAGTTTGAGGAGGCAGGGATTGTTTTTCTCACCATCTTATTTTCACAGGTACTTCCAGCTGCTGCTCAGCTCTGCACTGGCCTCGAAAGGAAACTCCAGCTCTGCTTTGCTTGGGGAGGTTGAGATGAAGGGGGTACAGTGCGTGCTCCTTGCCACAAGTGTAAGAGGACAGAGGGAAGGAAGGTTTCCTCCTTCTCTCCAGCCCATGTGCCTACAACCCTGTGACTTGCCTCAGCCAACTTTCCCCTATTTACGTCTGGGGTACAGTGTGGGGAAGGAAAGGGTTTTTTACCACTCTCATTTTCTTCATCAGGGCATAATTACAGTGTCATAACACAGCAAATTACAACTTTGCCTTTCCTGTTAGGGAGAGGAATTTGCCTAGATGCTCCCACCTTTTATTATCCATTACTCATCCCCCCGGCTGGCAGGAAAAGTACGGCGAAGTCAGGATTCTGACAGATGCCCATTTAAAGCTCATTAAAATTCCTGGGCCTCAGCGTGATTGAAGTCACAGGCTCTCCACATTTCCTTTTGGATTAATGGAAAACGAAGCCCTAATGAATATTTGCTAAGCACAATTTTCCCCACTAATTTGCTAAAAGGACTGTCACGAAGGAGCAGCTGATCCTTTGCATCTTGTGAATTTCCTAGAGGTCATGAGGATGGTAACAAGGTGTCTTCCAAATGGGAGGGATAGTGGTACAGTGGGATAATTAAATAATTAGGCACCTAGTCATCTGTTTAGCTAAATTACTTTTGAACCTCAGTGGCCCACAATCAGGCACCCCTATTTCATGCCAAGCTTTTCCATCTTCCCCCTACCTCCCGTCTGCCTCTTCCTTAGTCTCCTCACTGAGCAGCTATCCCTTCTCCAGTCCTTGCTGCAGTTCATTTTCACACAATGTGGAGTTATTGGCATGATAAACTAGATATGAAACAGTCTGAAAGTGTTAAACAAACACCGACCTCCTTAGGTGTCTGTTAGAATTGAGAAAATTCTGCCCAGGAGAAGACCACAGTCCAGAATAGCAGGGAAAAAATCATTCCTTCATCTCAACGTGCCCCAAAGCACTTCTGCTGTGGGATTTGAGATCCATGTTATAATAGAATGGGTAAAATCTTGGCTTTGCTGCAATTAGTGGCAAAATTCCCACTGACATCACCAGAGCCAGCAGTTTTCTCTGTAAAACTGGCAAATTCTTTCAAAAATGCCAGCTGCATTTCCTGGGGTCTTGGATGTGTTGTGCATGAGTAGGGATTCTGCCTGCATGAGCTGAGAAACACCTACTAAGCATAAGGCAGACCAGGAGGCATGCAACTTCATCTACACTGCGTTTAGAGGTTGGGCTCAAGGAGATAACAACCCTTAGCTCACCTTGAAATCAGCTTTGCCTCACACTGCTCAGAGACCAAGAGGAAGAGACCAGGGAGGATGTGAAAAAGCAGAGACCATCCTCAAAGCCCATTTCAGCTCTGAAATGTGGCTGGGAAACCCATGCTGCGGCTTCCCATACCAGCTCAGACATTGAAGGCCAAACTCTCTCTGTTCGCAACTACAGAGGGTTTTTGCTTACTTCCAATGCTAAAAACTCCAGCTGCTACTGAGAAACAACCTGGGCTATTTTAATTTGTTCTACCATCCTCACATATCAAAATTCTGCCATTAGAATTTATCAAGCAATTTCTTGTTAAGTCCATCTATCCGTAAGTTACTTATCACAGTTAGACTCCTTGGTAAAGAATTGACAAAACAAGCTTTCTCTGCCTCAGCCCTTCTACCTTGTTGTGGTGTTTTTTGCCTGAGTCAACTTAATCTGGGCACTCCATGGAAGACTATGTATTTATGTGTATGGCCTCCTCTTCTTATATACATGTATATTTTTAAGAAACCAATGGTATGAGTTGTTCAGCTCAGAATGCTATGAAGAGCTAAGTTAGATTTCAGTGCACACATGCAATGAGTTTTAAAGGACTTGGTCAGGATCACTGGAGCAAGAGGAAGATCACAGCTGGTATGGCAAAACCTTAGTGAAGACTCCAATTATCTTGTTGGAGAAAAAGGTCTTTTTTTGGACTGAGTTAATGGATTATCAGAGATCAGTATACTTGGCAGTTCAAGGCTGAATACAATACTAAAATTATTTACCACACACTTTGCTTTGGTTTTCAAAAGAGCTGTAAGTCAGCCTGAAATCTAACCCTCATGACACATTATAAGAAGAGAATCAAGGTTCATTTCTACCCTGACATCTACCATGGCTCTTGGTTTTATGGCTTTAAGTTATAGATATTTCTGTTCATTAATACACAAGAAGCACATAGACTTGATTTGGACAAAACGGAAAGAAAAGTTTTAAGGAACGCACAGTTTATGAATGGTATGTAAATTACAGGCAAACCATGCTGGATAATGGAAAAACCTGTGATTGAGGATACAGGAGCATGTGCTAGAGAACTCTGTGTTGGGTCCATGTTGATTTGGCTTGGTTGAACCTGAGCTGCTCAGCCATTGCTCTGCCCATGCTTCTCACCCTCCAGCTCATTGCTAGTTCTTTAGCGTGGGGACAGCAGCACACCCAACCTATCCCTGGGTGTCCACTATCAACATGAGTAAACTCCACATACCTGAGCTGATGTCAGCTGTCTATCATTACATCCCCAGTACTGTGAGGCAGTGTCAAAAAGAAAGGCTATGACTAGACTGCTCTTCCAACAGTAATTAAAAATGGGCTGTCCCGTAAGGTTGTGTGAAGTTAGCCTGCGGCCCTTTGGTCAGCTGCACACTTCACCTCCACAGCAAATACTCAGAGGCTGGAATTTCATTGCCTCTTCTGTATCTGCTTGCTATTCAATCTCCATCATGTTTGAGCACAGGGCAGATGAGAGTCACAAGCCAGCACCACTTTATTTTAATATCTAAGTGTACTTCTGAGTTTCAGAAACTACTTCAAAATGAGTAGTACCATACAAATGTAAAATTACCCCCAAGTTTTGCCTGGTTGACATGGCCTGAATCAAGACTTCATCAAGCTTTTGGATCTGTTCCACCCTATGCACCCCGTCAGCTGCCAGCAGCCTCAGCGCTCATGTGGAAGTAATGACTAATCTCTACAGGAACATTGCAGCGGCCAAGCTGCTCTGGGCTTGTTATCCAACCAGGATCCGGGAGCGGAGAGTTACCATTGTTATTAACAATGTGATCATCGATGTTATTGTTGTGGTAGGGCTGGTTCATTAATGAATCAATGTTTGTGCACATCCTTGCAAACATAAAGTACTCTTCTCAGCACCGACCATTATCATTAGAGTTCCCTCTTGCTGTGTTTTCCCATTAAAGGTTAGAGATGCTTAAAGGTCTTGACCCTCTGCTAAAAAGGAGTGTCATGCTTTAGAGTTTTTCCCTCTAGCAAGCAGCAGAGAAAGCCACAGCATCTGAACACTGCAGGAAAATGGAGGACACTGGGAACAGCAACCTGCATCGGACTGGTGGTTCATCGCATATATCTGGCCCCCAACCATCCTCAATACCAGCTGCTTACTGAAAGGGGTGAGAAATTATGAGATAACTTGTCTGCTGGGTGACACTTACCCTCAACTCACAGAGACACAATGTGCCTTGCAAAAACAGGGGTCTTTGGGCAGTGGGTCTTGCAAGTGTGCACAACAGCTATCCCTTGCTTCTGATGGTTCCTGGCACAATGCTATGCTGAGCAATGATCTGCTCGCCATTTTGTCCTGTGCTTAATCTAGCCCCAGTAAGTAATAAAAAGCAAAGTCCTTCAGCATGGGGGAAACATCTCTGTAATGATACGTTAGGTCTGTGCATCTGTTCTCACAGCAGGGACGTGTACTAGGGCTAATCAGGAGCTGGAAGTTGTGTTCCCCAGGAAATTCTGACATTGGAAAAAAATTAATTCCAAATTAGATCGAAATGCTGACATTTCTAATTTTCTTGCAAAATGAGATTTCTCTCCCAAAGTAGTTCTAGGCCATCAGAATGTTTTAGTTTGATAGTGTAATCTTGATTAATTTCATTCTGACTGTTACACTATATTAAAATATTAAATGTCATTATATATATATAATAACACGTATAACACAGGATATATCTGAATTAGTGATCTAATAGAAGATAAAAGTTGAAATGTAATTATTTAAAATGAGGGTCTCTATGCTAAGCTGAAGCACCTGACTTAAATGCCTCACTTAGGCAAGCAGTCTCCTCTTCTAGTCAAAAGGGAGCAGTGGACTCCCTGGAGGACGGTTGGGACTACCTGAGTGGGTTACCTGTGAGGATCCCACTGCTCCCCACTGACTGTAAAGAGAACATCACATGGCATGGTTGCCTCCCAAAACATTTAGATGCAATAATGAGAGATTCACGTCTCCTTACTTTTCATGTCTCCAGAGCAGCCATCGGACTAGATAATCCAGGCTCCTCTCATAATCAATGTAAAGAAATAGGTACTTTTACTGTACGATTAATTTCATCCTGATATAGAGATTGTGCTCTAAAAGGGCTGATCTCTGTGTCCAGATTATCAGTGGAGTCTAAAAGGACTAGACCAGCTCCTCTAAATAGCAGGTCCTTGTTCTCTAAATAGCAAGTGTCTGAAATCACGTTACTGGCTTCTAATGAAGGGCCACCGGTGCTTTGTGATCTATTAAATTCTTTATTCCAATGCAATTACATTTTTATCTGCATTCTTGTTGCTTGTCTCTAACATGGACCCCCCTGGACGTTACTGCCTGCATTGCTAGCAGGTCTTTCCATGGCCCGTGCACATCAGCATGCTCCCTTCCCTGGGGACCAAAGAGGTCTCAGCAGTGACTCCCCATGATGTTGCTCCCACATATTACTGCTAATGCCAATGACGCCGTGCCACATACGGAAGTTGAGAAAAGACTTAGTGGACCAGGGATTCAAAGCAATTAGGCATTTAATGGATATTCTTTAGGTGTATGAGGAAGGGAACCAATGTGGTGGGGATGGCTTGCTGGGGCCAGAAGGGAGGACAGCCCATTTACTCACCTTCTCTCTGTTGCTGTGGGATCATGGGAGGTGGCTGTGGGAACGCTTGGCTAATCTGGCCATAAGCAGCAGGATAAGCAGCTATAGAGGAGAGAAAGGGAGAGAAGAAAGAGGGACAAGATTTCAGTGCTGGGAAGCAAGGAGTTTTCACTCCAAACCATCATACCAAGCTAGAGGTGGGCTTTGCCCCTGCATTTTGGCTTTGGGAAGGGCCATCTCATGCAGCCTGAGATGTGGCAGAAGCACCACAGTTGTGCTCCAGGCAGTGCCACATGGCCCTGAGCACCCACCTTCCCTTCAGCTTTGTCAGCAGTAACACCGGGGACAGCCACGCGGTGTAAATGGAGGTCTCCACTGAGATCTCTCCCAGCAGAGGTGCATGACCATCCCAGATGGCACCACAAACACATTCATTCATGAGCTCAGTGCACTGATGCCTATGCTGACAGATACACACAGAGCACATGCACACATTTCCCTGTGTAATCTCTCTTGCACCCTAATTCACATGTTCATAAAAACAGTTCACACGTGCTTCCTCCCTTTAACCTTCGTATGACCACATACTGTGTAGGCACAGTTACACATACACTGTTGGATACATATTTTCTTTCATGTCTGTAGAGAACTCCTCTCTCACACGCAAACACAGTGGAAACAGTGTGCAGCAATTAAACAATTTTCCCCACCTCAGCTCCCCCACCAAGCAGACAAGGGGAACCATTCAGTACCACAGATGGTAGATGATGTGCCTTGCTGCTAAAAATACAGAGTACGGGTCACCTGCAAGCCCAGAGAGAGGGGGACAGGGGCCATGTGTGTGCAGAGGGGTTAATTAACAGCTCAAAGGGTTGAGCTGCTTCCCATCTATCAAACCTCACAAGCAATAAATGACAATAACTAAAACACCAGCAAATGAAGCCTTACTCGGAGAATTAAATTAAGTTTCCAGATACAGTGCTGACATGAGATAATAGCCATTCCTCAGCGGGAGCCCATGATTGCTCCAGTTACCACAGGAAATAATGACTTTGGGGTGGCAGCTTCCTCGCAACATTGGCCATGGACACCTCGCGAGGGGAGGCTGAACACGGTGGGGTCGTGGTCTGCACCAGGTCACTTTGGCTGGTGTTAGTCCATCAACTGCAAAGGAGCTGCTCAGTGTACAGGGTGATGTGAGTGGAGGCTGACCCGTTGGGAGCCATGGAGAAAGCTGCTGGGAGGCCAGGAGTATGTCTGTGTAGCTCTTAAGCAACCCTCAAACTAACTAGCTGAGGTATGGCCAGTGTAGACATACCCTAAAATACGGATATGTGTAGACATACCATACCCTGCCAGGCTCTGCAGGGTCTGGTTGCCCATCTCCCCTCCTCGCTGCAGCACTCAAGAGACCTGTTATAGAAAGTGGCCCCAAATCAGTGGCCTGATTTTGCACTTGTGCACTGTGCTAAACAGACCGGACCTGGTCCTGCCAATGAAGCTACACCAAGGTACAGGTCAGCGGGGGCCTTTCCCTGGGGAAAGGGAAGAGGTTGCCTCCTTAGGGAGAGAAGACCCTGGGCTTTACGTTTTTTTTCACAAGAAGTGCAAATTTAATCTGAGAGTCTGTGGCCCCCAGCTCGCCCCTATATCAGCAATCACCTCCCTTCCCCCAGCCCCCTCAGGTGTGTTCAGAGATTAAAGGCTTTAGAGAAGAGAAAGGTTTATTGGGAGAAAGTGTTAATACTAACGACCTGCGTACTGCTGCACTCCAGCGTAGGCTTGCTGCAAGGGGTCTGCTGCAGTGGGGCTCTGTGCTGTGGAGACACAAGAGAGAGAAGGAATTAAGGGGTTAAAACATGACAGGCACATTCTTTCTTTTCCCTCGTCAGAATGTGGTGTGAGACAGACAGACAAGGGGCTGAAGGTCCCAGAAAAGGAGCAGCTCGCTCACCTTACCGACAGGACTGCACAGAGCCCCCCATGATGGCCAGGAGGGCTCTGTCCCCCAGCTGTCACCCTGTGAGACTTTGGAGCAGAGGGCAAACAAACCTCTCCCCTCCTTTCCCAAGCTTAAATTATGGAGCCCACCTCTGATGATGCGAATTTTTGGCATTGCAGTAATCAACCCCAAAGAGCTCTCATCTTAAGCCAGGACTGACACTGTGCTAGGTGCTGTGCAAACTCAGTTCTCAGTGACAGCTACAGTCGCATGAAACTTTCAATCAGAGCAGAAAACAACAGGGGCATATCAGGAGGAAGGAGAAGAGAACAAAGCAGTGGCTCCTGCCATCCCTCCATCACTTCGAAGGACCGTGTTGCTGCCAGGCAGCCCCCTGTGCAAGAGGAGATGCTGCTTGGAGGGGAGGGGGACACCACTTGTCTGCTCCAGGGAGGATGTTGTGAATCTCTGCGTAAGGCATGCAGTCTCTTGCTGGCTTCAAAGTGCATTTTCTCTCTTTACAAGTGTGCATTCCTCCTCCCTAAAACTGTTTATTTTTGTGAAACTTTGAAGTCTAGCTCAAATACAACCAAAGCTAGTTAAGATTTTTTTTTCCTTTTCCCCTTTGG